ACTTTCATATTTTATCTCAAGAAGATGTTGACCACATATTAGCTGCCCAGTTTTACTGTATCATATCTAAATAGCCTAAAGTGCTTAGCAATATTTCAAGTGTTGGGCTTACAACAATAAGTATATAACTAGTAATAGTGTAGTGATTAAGGTATTGGACTTGGACTAGGGAGATATAAGTAAAGGTTTCCAGGGGTTGTGTGAATAAATAAGGCTACATTCTCATCATTTGTCACCATGCAGTCATTATATAAACACATTTGACATAATCGAAAATGTTTTTATGGCTTCCTCTGTAAAGTAGTGACAAAGTCATCTTAAGAAAAAACATGCTACAAAAATAACATAATTTTATATAACAACTACAAATAAATATTTGTCAGCCAAATCACAGCATTATTTTTTTCCAGGAAAAAAAATTGTCGGCAAATGAGCAATTTTTTTTTCAGTCAAGTTTCAGACATGACTAATTTTAGAGCAGCAATGTACTTTATATGAATTATGTTTTAGTTAGTTCATGCTTTTTATTTTTGTTAAAACAGGAATTGAATACACACACACACACACACACACACACACACACACACACACACGATTTTTAAGAATACCAGAGTTCTGATAAGTAAATTTATTCTAGAAAAATTAATGAAACCATTATTAAAAATGCTGTATGTCATACATAAGCCCTATTTATAATTAAATGAAGGCTCGGTTTTCTTTAGTAAACTGGGTTATTCCAATTAAAATAATCTCTCAGCAGTGTTCTTTATACTACTTACATGATCTAATAGAGTTAAAGTAAGAGGTCTCTCTCTCTCGTTTTAAAAAATGAGCTGAAGTGGAATCTGATTGCTTACTTGTGACTATGAGGACTTTTTTTATCATTTCTTCTTTCTAGATTTATACTTCTCCATTCCTGATGACTCTTCTCTCTTTTCCAGGTTGATAGCCAGTTTATATGATTCTTAGGAATAATATGTCATTTTTTCTTCCATTCTGACTCAGTGTCTTCGGGGCTGACCAGTGCCTGTCCTTCTCTTGACCAGTGCCTGTCTCTCTCTGTTTTTCCCTCCCTCTCTCACTCCCTCGTGTGTGTGTGTGTGTGTGTGTGTGTGTGTGTGTGTGTGTGTGTGTG